TTCAGATAAATTGAGCAAAAACGAAAAATTTAACAAAATTTTTTTCGCCGTTTTTGCTCTCTCTCTTTCACTTGAAATCTCAACGCCCTGTATCTACATTATTTCTTCGTAAAATAGAGAGATTAGAACTAAAATTTTAAATTTTATTTACTTGTTTCTTTATTCCATAGTAACCTGTCGCCCATCTTTCTAATGGAAGATGAATTTAAGTTACATTATATTTTTCGTGACACTGTTTAGAGAGATAAGCATTTGTTAATTACACAACACACATTTAATTCTTTTTTCTTATTTGCGAAGTTGGCTAGTCAATATTCAGCATTCCATTATATTCCAACGTCGCCAAGTCGTTCCTAGGAGTAGAGGATTAAGAAAAATTAAACAAGACATTATCATTACCTTACTGTAGTATTGAGGTAAACGGCTAAAACATACACAAATTGAACTAATTCGAACAACTGTACGGTATTTACGGTGGTAGGGCCATGCAGCAGCCTCGGCTGTTGCACGAATGGGCAGGCCCGTCCGGGTAAGTACCACGACCTCACAGAAGACCAGCGTAAAGTGGAAGTATGACAAATACTTTCGCGTTTCATCTGGTGAGTGAGGTGGCCGGAGCCCAATTTTCAAAAGGTTGTCAACGCATCTGTAACCCTCGGGTGTGGCAGATGTCCATGGGCGGCGGTTTTCACTTAACATCAGGTGGACCGTCTGCTCGTTTGACAACTTTTCGCACAAAATAAAATAAAATAACTGTACCCAGTTCTAACGTTTGATCATACAAAACCTCTCCGAGTTTCAAGCCGCCGACCTCATACTCCGAAATCTTTCATTCAGAAACCAAGTCAACCGAACTATTACAATACACGGATCACAAAATTGCATAATCGTATGTACATCTTATTTTGAAAGAGGAAGAAGAAAGAAGAAAGTTGCGTCTGACCTCTATCTAATAAATAAAACCTCAAGACTACGACACAACGAAGCCTTTCACTGTCGTGATTGCTCATGACCCTGTGATGGATTCACACATGTTTTTGGACAATTCTTAACGCACACAACAGTGCTTCTGCCCCGTTCTGTCGCTTTTCGGAGTAATGAAGCGGGGGGCAAGCCGAGGTTAGCGATCCGGGCGATCGTTTATTTGTGACCTCGACCGTTCTGACCTAAATCCGAGGGATAGCCGAGCTTCAGTCAAATGTTGTGTATACAGAAACCACTACAACGTGATTATACACGTATCCCTTGTTTTTTTACGAACATATCGCTTTGTACAATATGAATTTTTCAATGAAATTTTTTAGAACTCGACGATAGAGAAATGCAGAAGTTTCAGCTCTTTCACTAATGCCCAGGCTTCGAAACTGGCATTTCACTCCAATTTCGAACTCTTAAGCTAGTAGGACCTGGTGTCAGTACAGAGATTGAAGAATGCTGGTTATGCTGAGAAAACAAATAGAAGGGGTCTGACCGCAGCGTGAAAGAAATTCCATTCACGATGCGGTCAGACACAGAAAAAAGCGGCTTCTAGTTGATCAACACATCACGCTCAGGTTGCAGGTATGATATCAGCCAGTGGACTAGACTGCGGCACTTCTGGCACAATTTTACATGTTGTTAGAAGATCAAGAGCAAATGCGCGCTTTTCTGGGAGGACGAGCGCACCTTCAGGAAGTACAAACACGCGAACAGGTGGAAAAACAACCGCGCCAGTACAAGGAACACTTGTACGCTTCTCGGAAAGGATAAACGCAATAACAAGACATGATCCTACAAGCTCTTGATCACAAGACTGCAAAAGTAGAAACTGTAGAAAAGGGAATGGAAAATTTTAATATGAGTGTGGGAGAGGAACATGAAATATGGGTGGTGGTGGAGGATATACATAAGTTGAAAACTAGCGGTGTAAACAAAGTATGCATCTCAACGATAAGCTTGAATTATACGGAAGCAACAATTGACTATCGCATGCTTTAGCAAGTCTCTTATAAAATCTAAAAGAAATTACTGTGTGACCCGAAGAGATTTAATGAAAATTGTAAAGACTTAACAACATTCCAAAGGTACCAGTTAGATCGAAAATTTCGTTTCGCAATTGGCATTTTGTGATGCGGAAGGTCAAGTGACGCTGGATAGAAATTTGTCTCACAGCAGAATAGCCGGAATGCGATTTTGAAGTCAAAAATTCGAACAATTCTAACACTGACTATATTACAACGTTGGCTATAACCGTGGCGGTATACAAAAGGAGAAAGTACTAATATCCTTAAAATGATTAAAGTCAATGATATAAGAGCTAAATGTAGTAATGAGACAATGCATTCGGAACGACGCTAACTCACGGCCCAACTTATATATAATTAAAAAGACAATAATATGAATGTTTTGGTGGCATAACCTCGTAGTTAAATCTTTTCCAAGAAATATTTACAAACTGACAAATAAGTCATGATTAATTTAATTTTAAGTGCACGGTCTCAGAACTCAAACTAAAAGACATTTTTTTGTTAAAGTTTGAAACAATTTCAGTAAAATTTAAGAAAAACAGTCGCTATTTTAGGACACAATTAATTTTTAATTAATCTTAACGAAAGTCGTTTAACAAGTCACGCAATTAACCCTCATTATAAAAGCATTAAATAGATTACCGTACATTACATTTATATTTAAATATATTTCACGTAATGTAGTAAGTAATTAATACAAATTTTTTGCATGTTTCTAAATTAAACATATATTTTAATTTACATCGGTACAAGCATACCATCATACTTATATATATAATAGCAATGTAACACTTTTAAGTTTGCTGCGTCTTAATGTTGGAATGATGATCTTGTCGTCTCCACTTCGTAACATCTTCTCCTTAAGTGGTTTTAAAAGAAAACGTCGAAAATAGCTTATAATGCAGCAATCTTCGGCTTCGAGTACCCAATGTTTTAAATAGTTGTAAATGTAACAATATTTTGTGTACCTAATGAAAATATCAAATGTCTGACTAGAACAGAATATGAGATTCGGTGTAGCTTCGGTGCTAAAACATTGAGTTTTTCAAGAATAAAATCCTGTATACTCGTTCACAAAAACCTGTTAGCTTAATGGCGAGGAATGTGAACACGTAATGGTAAAGGCCTTCCGAATTATTAGTTATAGTAGATAACGCTACTCCTAAGCACACTCTCCGAAATTTCATTACAGAACACTAAAAGACAGACTACTCTGTGCCTTCACTTAAGGTCGGGTACTGTTAACCATGTCAGTGCACCTAGAAACCTCTTACACTTACGCATTTGCAATCTATTGCAGGTACGAGGCTGCTGCTATGCGTGAAATTCTGATGAACCTAGGAAAATACACACAACTTGCTTGACACTACTTTGGCCCTATACTCCAACAAGCTAGCAAAGTGAAGGGGATATTATAACACCACTGAAGGTGGTCAATTTGGGCAGAATGATATATTCAGAGGTATACCCTGAAAACTGTAGAAGAATAAGTTGGCTTCCTTTTTGCGATGAATGACATGACTAAGTGGCCCTATAGAATCTCTTCATTTATAATGAAAATAAATAAATTACTAGCTTTTCTCGCGTTGAAGCCCTTAAATAAATATCTTTCTTTTAAAAAACCCCATTAAAAAATAAATAGCCTATGTCCTATCTCAGGCTCTAGACTATCTGTGTACGAAATTTAATTTGAAACGGTTTAGTAGTTTTGGCGTTAAAGCGAGACAGACAGACAGAGTTACTTTCGCATTTATAATATTAGTATGGATAATGAAAATCCGTAATATATCTTATTATAGAAACTTAGTTACAATAACATTACGTTGAATGAAATTTCTATTAGTTTTTTTTAGCAATAAAGACGTACGTGTAAAGATAAGGAAGCTGTTATAAATACTACTTCAACGATTAAAGTCAACTATTAGTCGCTGCGTTGGCCCTACGTATTATCGAAACGTTCAGTCTTTCATCTTACTTTGTTATAGGCGCCCGCCTAAAACAACAGTTTGCGTTTCATACGAGTTTTAAGTGACATAAAAGGACATAAAAGTACGTATGATTAGGCCCAGTCTCACTATTCTCTGTTCATATAGACAACAAAACATAAACAAAAACCCACATGCACCAATGATTATATAAATCTCCAAAACATCTGTTGAACAAATTTGTTCACAAGTTCCACAAGTTATTTTTCAAGATGTAGCCTTGGGTAACCTTGATATGTAACTGTTGATAACAACTATATTCATTAAAATTTGTGGAAAAAAGTTTTTCGCCGCTGTGGGAATCGAACCCACGTCTTCGGGATTCCTACCCAGACACTTTAACCACTAAGCTACATGCACATTTGTGATTGCCACACCAATGAAATTCTCAACGTCCTTTAAATACACTGTTTTTGCGCATTTCAAAAAATGCTTGGCTTTATCCAGTGTTATATCCTTACAGGACACAAATAATTTATGACTAGACATTTTGTGTTATAAATTGTGTATATATAATTTTATTTTAATTATTAATCACTCGGGATTGTTATACTTTTGTTACTTAAAGTGTAATATTTTAAAAGCATTGTTATTTTTAAGGCGAGGGCTGATAAAAAACAAGTTGGAAAATTAGAGTGTAATATGTCAGATAAATGTTAATGACTTTATTCTCATAATCTAAAATAATGGTGGATAAGAAGTAAATTAAAAAAAATTCCTTTCAATTTTAATTATCATGAGAAAGTAATTTTAAAACATCAGGTACTACAACATAATACCATATTTAAATTCATACGATAATTCATACTAGGTGGCTGAAACCCTTATTCCATCCATATCTGATAGCTTATATATTAAAATAAATTTCTGCAAAATGATGAAATACTTAATGTAAGACATAAAGTAAAATTAATATAAAAAATATTAATTTTACGGGTAGCCAACTCAAAACTTCTGAAGCGTACTTGAGCCTATTTTAGGAGATTACATTATCAACCGAGAGGATACGATGGTTCAAATTAAAGTCAAAGAAGGCTTGCTGGAGGGAGAAGTGACCGAGAATGTTTTGGGAGGAAGTTTTTACAGTTTCAGAGGCATCCCTTACGCTGAACCCCCTGTTGGTGACCTCAGATTTAAGGTATTCCAATTTAGAATCGTAAAAAGGCAATATTCTTATTTTAAGCTTGTGTTAAGCCAGCAACTACAATATTATAGAATATGTCAGCTTGTGTTTGTAAGTATTAATGTTTGTAAAGTTAATTTGAATCTCCCAAATTTCAGCCACCGCAACCAAAACAGCTCTGGGATGGAATTAGAGAAGCAAAGGAGTTTGGTCCCATTTGCTATCAGATACTTTTGCACGGCGATGGGTCCGCACCGGCCGGTTCTGAGGACTGTCTGTATTTAAATGTGTATACGCCCGAAATTTATCCAAACGAGCTTCTTCCGGTCATGTTCTACATTCATGGAGGTGGTTTCATCAATGGAAGCGGTAACGACGATATGTACGGTCCCGAGTTTTTAGTGAGACAAGGAGTGGTCCTTGTGACCTTCAATTACAGATTGGAAGTTCTAGGCTTCCTCTGTTTGGACACTGAAGACGTGCCCGGTAACGCTGGCATGAAGGACCAAGTAGCGGCTCTTGGTTGGGTAAATGAAAACATCACCAGCTTCGGCGGCGACCCCAAAAATATCACGATCTTCGGACACAGTGCCGGTGGATGCAGCGTGAGTTATCACCTAATTTCACCAATGTCGACGGGCTTGTTCAAGAAAGCTATAGTCAAAAGTGGTTCCTTCACTTGTCCATGGGGAAAGATGTTCGAACCGAGAGAGAGAGCATATGCGTTAGCTAGAAAATTAGGATTTCACTGCACAGATGATAAGGAGCTGTACGAATTTTTCAAAACCCAGCCGAAGGAATCACTAATCAATATACAGGTGCCAATAACATTGAGCGAAAAAGCGAAAAAACAGTTCGAGCCGCATTTCGGGGTGGTGGACGAAAAGAAGTTTGGCAATAATGAAAGATTCATATATGGAGATTTGACTGAGAGACTTCGTAACAGCATGCATGAAGGTATTGACCTCCTAATGGGGTATACTGAAGATGAAGGACTCATCAGTATGGGAATGGGATTACCGTTAGAGAAGATTTGTGTCCAAGCTAATCAATTCCGTGAATTTTTCGTTCCTAAATCAATAGCCTATAATTGCCCATTGAGTGTTCAATTTGAAGTTGGACGAAGAATAAAACACTTTTACTTCAACGACGATTTAGTAAAGATGGACAACTTAAATGCACTGGTCAAGTTCTTCTCTCTGAACTTGTTTGTCTATCCTTTGATCCAATTAGCAAGGAGTTTTTCGAAGAATAACAATGTGTATTTCTACAAATTTACTGGCAAAACTGAGAGAAACTTTATGGTTCAGGTTTTAAGACTGGAGAAGGTCTTAGGTGATAAAATTCCAGTTTGCCATGCCGATGAATTAAATTATATTTTTCCAATAAAAAAAATCAATCTTAACATCGACATAAAAGCTAAAAGCTATAAGATAATTCAAAACATGACAAAGCTGTGGACCAATTTCGCTAAACATGGGTGAGTTTAAAACATTTTTGAAGATATGTGATGTTTATGCTAGGTACAGTAATTAGATTTATTCTTTATAGGAATCCAACGCCAGATGACAGTATGGGCTTTAGGTGGATCCCATACAACTTGAATAAACAGCATTACTTGGAAATAAGCGAGAACTTGATCGTGGGCAGCGAGCCCGATAAAAAAGAGGTTGACTTCTGGGAGAACATATTCACTGAATTTTTACCGAATTCTGTTCCATATTAATCGACTTTATACTGGGACTTCCTGAAAAACCTCGCGATGCAACATATAGGAGAGGAATGATTAATGTAGTTTTTATTATATTTCATGATAATAAATACTACTTTTAGGTCAGACATGTCACATCACCGTTCATCACAAACGCTCGTATGCTATAGGAACGCAGGTAGGACAAACATGCAGTCATGCATTATTATTTCCTAGAATACCAGTTAAAATACTCTCACGCCGCATGTATCATTCGAATGAGTGTAATTACTTATCAACTGATTTGTTTCAGTCTATCACTATAGCTATCTTCTTTTCCAATTTATGTTAATTATATTCAGCCATTCGCATTTATCAGTTTTTATCTGCGTCCCGGTTCCACCGTATCTGAACTGTCGGGAACCATGAATTTGTCGTAAAAAAGAGTAACTGTCCCAAAATGATACTGATTAATTGCTAGTATTATTGCCCCTCTCCATGAATTAAGCAATTTTTAAATAAAAAATGTTATAAAATATTAACCGCTTGCTGCGCTACTCTTACGTTTATTTTTTTTAATGTGAAAAGTTGCCAAACGAGCAGACGGTCCACCTGATAGTAAGTGAATACCGACGCCCATGGACATCTGCTACACCAGAGGGTTACAGATGGGCAGGCCCGTCTGTTTTTAATTCGTCTCCATTTCAAGATGTCCAGTGCAAAAGGAACCGACACGAGTAGCTGTTACATTTTTTATGTTACATGGGATCGATGAATGCGAGAATGTTAATAGTTTTTTATCGCCAAAACGGCACTCTTTTAAATTTAGAAGTTTATTTCAAAGGCATGGCAGCTCAGCACGCTGTAAAGTGAGGAACGCTGTCTACAGACAACACCATCGTACTGCACGGGTGTTGCTAAACACTGTTAAAGTCACTGTATTGTTAATACACTGATAACTTTGACTAGTTTCATCTTGCCATACAAATAACGTAAACCTTGAGACATTTAAAATACGGAATAAGTTTGCATGAAAACTAATATTTGTATTAGTAAAGCAAAGCAAGATAATAATTACCGTACAGGTATTGAAAATTAAGAAAATTAGTTCGTGTCATAGAAAAGTTGATACAGCGGGCAACACTCAGTTAGAACTCACTTTTTTATAAGGTGGCAAGGCGTCGGGTGTTGCAAAATTATCGGCGGTGGTTATCACTCAACATTAGGTGAACCCCCACCTCCTTTGCCACATTCTCACAAAAAAAAACTGCTCCGGATTTTCCAGTGTCCCTGGACGACAGTGACCACCAGTTGACGCGCTCTCTCATTTGCCTCCTATTCCGAAACAAAAAAGGGAAATTCCGACCATTCTGGAATGGACCATTCTCGCTCGGAGTAAAACAGGCTACCGCTAACGAATTATCGACAAGTAGCACATTTAAATAGTATCTACCACTCCAGCAATTAAAACAGGTGCGGCGGTTGGCAAAAGCGGCGTGCCTCTTGGCAGCCCGCCTAAGCCCGCGCTTACCCTGATAATTTCCAAGCCTCACTCCGGACCCGGCTTAAAGCCACTGGATTGTCTCGCCGCCTAAAGCTCTCCGTTCATCCTGTCAAACATAAATTGGTGGTGTCTGAAAAACTAAAACATAGAGAATTAAAAAAACTAAAGCTCAAGGTTTAGTTAATGAACAATGTCTTTGGAGTGCATTGATTTATGCAATACTCAAATATTTGAAGTGCGAAGAGATGGCGCAACAAAATAAGATGTCCATTTACCTTATTGTGATAGACAAATAATTGTCACAATATTCGACGGCCCATTTGCAAAGTTTTATTCTAAAAGTAGTATAGTAGTATCAGCCTATACATGTCTCACTGCTGGGCAAAGGCCTCCTCTGTACGGAGGGTATTAGGGCATAGTGCACCACGCGGCCCCACTGCGGATTGGCGGACTTCACATATCTTCGAAATGTTTTTTTTTTTGTTATTATTCCAAAAATATGCAGGTTTGCTCACGACGTTTTCCTTCACCACTGAGCGCGTGATAAATCGGCACTTTAAATTGACAATTTCATCGGTGCCGGCACCGGGTATCGAACTCAGGTTGCTCGAGTATATTGAATTAAAGGCGAGCGCCTGGACACTGAGCTATCACGGCTCGTTTATTCTATTAACAAGGATAAATTAGGATGGACTGACTGACAAGCACTAAAGAAATTTTTGCAGCTAATAATAAACGAGGTAATACAACTTGAATTCAAATTATCTTTCTTCACATAGACTCTTACGCGTTCTTATAAAACGTAGAAATTTTACATAAAAATTAATACGTTCGTTAGTTATCGCCGGTTCGGAAAGCAGTTTCTGTTGACAAGAAATTGGCAATGAAACAGAACAGTAGCTCTTTTTTTAAAAGGTCAGTTTACAATATAATGGTACAGGTAAAATAGTCTTATTTTAGGCTACGTGAATATAAGCAGTATTAACACCACACATTGGCGTCGTCAAGATATTCCGCAATGGTATAATGTGCTTTAGCCATAAGTTTACTGTTAATTTTTCGTTTAAATTGATCTTTGTCCCATGAACGACCTATTTACTAGACGAAACAATGGCGTAGTTAGTTTGTCCTTATTTCTAGTATTTAAGTAATTTATGTCGGTCACTATTCTTTAGATAACAATTAAGATTATATCTAACATACAAAATATTACAATAAATATATTGAGACGCAACATGGAGTATATTAATCTCTTTACAAAGATCTCTGAGTTTATTCCGGGCTCCGATGTTATTGATTGGATGGCACTTTCTTGAAGAATAAATATAGAATTCATATGAAATGCACTACTCCACAACAAAATATCGTACGACAAGATGGTGTGAAAATAACTGGAGTTAACAAATCTAGCAGTGTCGATGTCTGATAGCTGCCTAACCTACCTAATTGCAAAAACAGCGGAGTTTAACCTATTCGCACTATAAGATAGATGGGGACTCCACTGGAGCTTCGAATCTACTGTAATTCCCAAGAATACAGCGGACTCAACAGGATTAAGGGTTATATTTAATTTTAAGCTAAAACTTTGCCTTCTTACGCTGGGAAGGGTAAAAAGGAGGCATTTAGTTATGGTATACAACATATTATTAATGGTAAACCAGTGGAGGATATGCGAAAGTGCACTATTCACGCCGTCATAATAAATAGTAGAAGCAAAACGACCCAGCGAAACATTAAATGGCACTACATTGTACAGAATTGTACGCCAAATTCCACAATGGTAGCTAACAGCTTCTATAAACCGAGCTGCGGCTCAGGAACATGCGAAATACTTCATGCATTCAATCAATGGAGACTAGCAAAACCGCTCGTTACTCGAGGTGAAAACGAAAATGGCTGATAATTTAAAAGTAAAAAAAAGTAAAGTAACAGCCTATACATGTCCCACTGCTGGGCAAAGGCCTCCTCTATACAGAGGGTATCAGGGCATAGTCCACCACACGGCCCCACTGCGGATTGGCGGACTTCACATATCTTCGAAATATATATATATTTTTTTGTTATTATTTCGAAAATATGCAGGTTTCCTCACGATGTTTTCCTTCACCGCGGAGCACGTGATAAGTCAGCACTTAAAGTTAAAAACTTCATTGGTGCTGGCACCGGGGATCGAACTCAGGTTGCTCGAGTATATTAAATTAAAGGCGAGCGCCCGGACACTGAGATATCACGGCTCTTGATAATTTAAAATGGCAATTATTTTGTAGACAAATGAACAAAATCTTTCGGTGCTGCGGGATTCGAACCGGCGTCTTCTTCGTTTCGCGCCCAGACGTTTCACCACTAAGTTAAGCCAATGACCCAACGGGGCGAAAATCTTGACATCTATCTACGTTCGCTCTATTGCATTTAGCAATGCTTGGCCACAGTCTAGTGTGCATCCTTTGCAGCATACAACAACTTACAAGTAACATTCAACGATGAATACTTGAAACGGGAGGTGTCGCCATTGCTCCTATGGTTATGTAACACATATATGGTGACTGATGGATGGCTCCGTGGCGCAGTTGCCAAGGCTTGGCTTGCAATTGGCTTCGGCATCGGGGTTCGTGGGTTCGATTCCCACATATGAGCCACAGATAGTTCTTTCGCATCTGGGTGTTTGTCCGCGTGAAATTTATGTTTGTAAAACGTCCTTACAACACACGATAATTTAATCCTAAAGTAAGGGCAATGTTTTAAAAAAAAATGTATGGTAGGGCCATGGAACAGTCTTTGCCGTTGCACGAATGGGGAGGTCCGTCCGGGTAAGTAATACGACCTCACAGAAGACCGGCGTGAAGTGGAAGTGTTATACTTCTGCCTTTCGTCTGGTGAGTGAGGTGGCCGGAGTCCAATTTTCAAAAGGTTGTCAACGCATCTGCAACCCCCTCGTGAGTAGCAGATGTCCACGGGCGGCGGTATTCACTTTACATCAGGTGAACCGCCTGCTCGCTTGGCAACTTTTCACTTAAAAAAAACCGTTTCCGTATAACGATTTTCCCATCGAAAGTTCCACTGGGAAAACAAATAGCAACTTTTCACGAATGCTCGCTATCCAACATTGGACGGGCACAAGCCAAGCAGTTTGATTTGTTTGAGCAAGTACTAACGTTAGTGATTAATGTATCCCGAAGGTTTCCGTGAAAACTTCCCGTTCGTAAACGCCTGCTCTTATTACTTAGATGGTGACAAATAGTACGACAAGGAGTAAAATTTATCGTTATTCGTCACGTCTCTTTTTGACGTCTGACGAAACGATTTTGTTTAAGAATGAATAGACATATGTTACGTATTATAGGAAGCATTTAATTGTTCATGAATGTTAAGAATTTAATATTGACACAACACTTTCAGAAATTAACTAACCCAAATGACATATATGTAAAGTAACAGCCTATAAATATCCCACTGCTGGACAAAGGCCTCCTCCGTACGAGTGTATTACGGGATAGTCCACCACGCGGCACCACTGCGGATTGGTGGACTTCACATATCTTCGAAACATTTTGTTTTTGTTATCATTTCGAAAATATGCATATTTTAATGATAATTTCCTGTATTCACGCCATTACATATTACTAAACGTAACTGTGTTTACGAATTTATCGCCTTTACATTTAGTTTTATTTCCCGACGCTACAATTTTACACTTCGCTAAAAGTAAATTAGAGTATCAGGCTATACATGCCCCACAGCTGGGCAATAGGTGCCGACACCAGGATTTGTAAACAGGCTGCTTGCGTATACTAAAACAAAAGCGAGAGCCCAGACACTGATCGGTTAAATAGGCAATATAGATAGAGTGATAGAGTTCACAACAATGACATCCGCAGTAGAACAAAGCTAATCGACATAGCTCAGAAGGCTAGTAAGCTGAAGTGGCGATATAGCTCGTAGAACCGATAACCGTTGGGGAAGAAAGTTTCTCGAGTGGCAGCCTCGTACTGACCATCGCAGTGTAAGACGCCCCAATCGATGGAGCAGCGACCTGTGCAATGTGCGGGAATTCGATGGATGCAGGTGGCTCAGGATCGTGCTTCGTGGCAGTCTGTGGGCCTGTGAGACACGTGAGGCCTATGTTCAGCGGTGGACTCAAACAGGCTGAAATGATGACGATGATGAAATATTTTCAGGACATATTTTACACAATGTTTTTTTTTTTTTTATGCGAAAAGTTGTCAAACGAGCAGACGGTTCACCTGATGTTAAGTGAATACCGCCGCCCATGGACATCTGCTACACTCGAGGGTTGCAGATGCGTTGACAACCTTTTGAAAATTGGGCTCCGGCTACCTCACTCACCAGACGAAACGCGAAAGTATTTGTCATACTGGAAGTATGACAAATACTTTTATATTACATACATTTGTCATACTTTACGCAGGTCTTCTGTGAGGTCGCAGTACTTACCCGGACGAGCGTGCCCATTCGTGCAACAGCCGAGACTGCTGCGTGGAACTACCACCGTAAAAAGTTATAGTTAAATGTTATTAGTGTTTTAGTCCTCTACGAAGATATTTTTTTAAAGATGATGTTAAGTGATAACATTGACATTTGCAACACCTGTAGGGTTTCAGATGCATTGCTACATTTTAATGAAGTGGGCCTCGGCTACCTTCCACACCAGATGAAACGCAGACGTATAACACTTCAACTTCACATAAAGGTTAAAAAGTTAAATATCTATTGACAAAAGAAAAAAAAGAACAGACCAAGTGCGAGTCGCACTCACACACGAAGGGTTCCCTACCATTATCTATAAAAACGACAAAAAAAGTTGAAACAGTTATGTTAATGGAATGTGTATGATAACGATTAAAACCAACAAAACCCATTCAATTATAAATCGTAACGACTTTTGTGTTTAATTACTCGTTAAAATAATTAAAACATGTTTCGACACCGGTCTACGCATTATAAATCGTTCAAATATCAATTCATTGGTGAAAGTAATAAGTTATTAAATCTAAAACAAAAGCATTAAGCATAAGATGAAAGTTTGTTCAATAAAAACTAACATTCTGTAATACATCCCACTGCTGGGCATTCCACCACGCGATTCCAGGGCAGTGTATTTTTTGAAGATTGACTTGTGTGTTTCTTAGCGAAGTAGTCCCACATTTGTTGCAGGTTGCAGATGACTGTGAGCTGTGTTAACTGCCACCCCTTGTACCTTAGCTGTGGCGTGGCAACACCATGTTGCCCTCCTCTCCGAGATAAAATTTCTAGCACGCACCAAACGTACTACATCTTTCCATTATCACAAGCTATCACTAAGAGCATCTAAACGATTCAGTCTGTAGTCTATTAAAGCTTCATTGAAGATCCTCCGTAATGAAGACGTAGGAGAAAGAAAGAAAGATTCAGTTCAGACCTAGGAGCTTAGGAGAGCTCGTAAGAACGCTTACTCTTTTACCGAACAAACACTACAGCCAGTTTATGATAAAACGATTGGAGTTCCCTTCTAGTGCATAATCCAGTAGTTAAATCTTTATTCGTAAATTCGCAATTAATCTATGAATAATTTTATTTTAGTTTAGTTACTACTATCAAGATTAAACTTAGAATGAGAATTTTGAATTAAGAAACATTTTTGTCGATAATTTTTCTTTACAATGCTAGTCACAATAATTTACAATGAATTTTAATGATGCTCGTTAAGCTAGAAATGCAATCACCCATCATTTTTTAAACCATTAAATAAAACTTATTACATTAGATTTTATTATTATTTTAAGAAATACAATTTAAATTACATTTAATATTAAATACCTTAGAAGATTGTCACCTCATCATCTCTTGGCAAGGACAACAACTATCGAAGACTAATGTTTTACTCTGATTTATGTTTAAGCAAAGGGTACACAGCCCATACAGCCAAGTTTATTATTATAGACTACATTGTATTGAAACAATATTTTAGGGATCCGTACCCAAAGGGTAAAACGGGACCCTATTACTAAGACTCCGCTGTCTGTCTATCTGTCCGTCTGTCACCAGGCTGTATCTCATGAACCGTGATAGTTAGACAGTAAAAATTTTCACATATGATGTATTTCTGCTTCCGCTATATCAAAAAATAGAATAAAAAAATATTTATGACATGATTTTTTGCTGTTTTTATAGATAACGGAACACTTCGTACACAAGTCCGAATAGCACTTGGCCGATCGTAATTTTTAATATCTATGGGTCGATAATACTTACATCAAGTAATCAAGTGGTAGGCAATTTCCCCTTCTTATTTTTTTTTTTGTTTACTTATTTTTCTTATTTTTTTTTTTTGTTTTTTTTAAAAACATTGCCCTTAATTTATGATAACATAATACTGTGTTATAAGGACGTTTTACAAACAAAAATTTCACGCGAACAAACACCCATATGCGAAACAACCATCTGTGGGTCACACAAATAGTTGTCCCGTGTGGGAATCGAACCCACGACACCCGACGCCGAAGCCAATACCTTGGCAACTGCGCCACGGAGCCATCATCTTCTAAAATGTAAGCAATTATGTACCGTACTTGCATTACAGTTCTGAAATACGTTAAGTGACATTATAGAAATTGATATTTGCTCTTAGACATGTAGATCTCATTATTTTATAGACATTACGCACTCCAGTGACGTGTACTGGAGTGTGTGATGTCCATAAAATATTAGAAAGGTTTCTCATTAAAATGCTATAAAGCAACGAGAAAAGTAATTAGTCACTGCACTTTAATGAGTTATGCTTTGCCCTCTGTATAACCGATTAATTCAGTATTTCCCCTCGCTTTGTAAAAGGCACTTGCCTGTCACTTTAAAGCAATAGTGTACCTACGAAGTTTAATACCAGGTTCAAAACAGTGACAAACATTCCGTCATTCAATTGTAAAAGGACGCAAATGTACGTATGATAAGACCCAGTTCCACCATCCGCTGTTAGTTTGATAAATGTATTGATAAAAAAATTAATTTAAAAATCCACAGGTGCGAAAGGGTTATCAATTATCTAAAGCAACTGTTAAATTTAAACTATTTGACTGACATATCTTAGAGTATGTAGTAATGAGTAATTTCGCTGTTAAGATATATAATGTTAAATTCTCCTTCTTATAAATAAAAATCAATGTTAGTTTGTCATCTATGTAGTCCCAAATTATTAATCCGATTGTGGTGTTGATTTTTCGTAAAATCTTTGGTGTGTCAGTCGTTTGTAGTCTATAATGTAAACATTTTCAATATGATAGAAATACGTAATGCGCTTTCTTAATACGACCGCATTTTGTACTGCCCGTTTTATAATTTGTGTTTTTTGAAGTAAAACTTCTTTACAAGTTTTACTTCAATCGCGCGTAAAGGTTACACGCACACACTTTTTTTATGTGAGAAGTTGGCAAGCGAAGTGGTGGTTCCCCTGATGTTAAGTGATAACCACCGCCCAGGGACATTGGCAACACCCGTAGGTTGCAGTTGCGTGCCACCATTTAATAAAGTGGGCCCCGGCTACCTCACTCACGATGAACCGCACAAGTGTAACACTACCACTTCACGCTGGTCTTCTGTGAGTTCGTGATGCTTGCAGTCCTTTTCCAATTAAAATAATCGTGTCTACATTTCAGCTCGCTATTTAATATTTCTAACTCAAATTTTTCTAAGGGATGAACGATCTAATGGTTCTCCTTTTTTAAACGATTACCGCTGCCCACGGTAATCTACAGTACCTGTACATAGTTGAGCCATGTTTGCCAACTTTTCAAATTGTGGGTCTGGTTACCTCACTAATATAAATATTAAGTAGAATTAAAATGAAAAAATAACAAATTTACAGGTAACAACTTTCACAATTTTGATGCGCCCTAAGTTATAAAGTTCCAATAACAACAGAGCTTACGATGGTTCAAGTTAAAGTCAGAGAAGGTTGGTTGGAGGGAGAAGTAACCGAGAATGTATTGGGAGGAAGTTTTTACAGTTTCAGAGGCATCCCTTACGCTGAACCCCCTGTTGGTGACCTCAGATTCAAGGTATTCTAATTTAGAATCGTAACAAAGCAATCTTCTTATTTTAAGCTTGTCCTAATCCAGCAACTACAATATTATGGAATATGTCCGTTTGTGTCTGTATAAATGTTTGTAAACCCTCAGATTTAAAGTGTTCCAATCAAATATTCCGACATTTGCCTATCTTCATATTTTCTTCTTTCTCTCTTTCTATTATAACATAAGTTTTATTAAAAGAATTGATGCGTTGTCTTTAACCAAACAACAATCTGTCAACACTACAAAAGTAATAGATTATTCATCTATTGCTTTTGCAATTGTTCTAACTCAGACTTTAAACTAAGGTGAATGCCAAACTCATAGTTAAATATGTGCAACTGATTGTAGCAAATGTTTTAAACTACATTAGAATGCGTTTGTATGAGTTGTTTAATTTTTACCTCACAAATTTCAGCCACCGCAACAAAAACAGCCCTGGGATGGAATCAGGGAAGCAAAGGAGTTCGGCCCCATTTGCTATCAGTTCGATTTGCACAACATTGGATCCACACCGACCGGTTCTGAGGACTGTCTGTATTTAAACGTGTATACGCCCGAAGTTGACCCTAAAGAGCTTCTTCCCGTAATGTTTTACATTCATGGAGGAGGTCTGGCCATTGGAAGTGGTAATGACAACATGTACGGTCCTGAATTTTTAGTCACACATGGAGTGGTTCTCGTGACCTTCAATTACAGATTGGAAGTTCTAGGCTTCCTCTGTTTAGACACCGAGGACGTGCCCGGTAATGCTGGCATGAAGGACCAGGTAGCAGCTCTTAGGTGGGTCAACGAAAACATCACTAGCTTTGGCGGCGACCCCAAAAATATCACAATCATCGGACACAGCGCCGGTGGCGTCAGCGTGAGTTACCACCTAATTTCGCCAATGACGAAGGGTTTGTTCAAAAGAGCTATAGTCAAAAGTGGTTCCCTCACTTGTCCATGGGGTAAAATATTCCAGCCGCGTGAGAGAGCGTATGCGTTAGCTAGAAAATTAGGATTTCACTCCACAGATGATAAAGAGCTGTACGAGTTTTTCAAGACCCAGCCGAAGGAATCACTTATCACTATACAAGTGCCAATAACGTTAAATGAAAAGGCGAAGGAACTCCTCGATGTGAATTTCGGGGTGGTGGACGAAAAGAAGTTTGGCAACAATGAAAGATTCATATATGGAGATGTGACTGATAGACTGCGCAATAACATGCATGAGGGTATTGACCTCTTAATGGGATATGCCGAAGATGAAGGACTCATCAATTTGAGAGTTGGAATACCATTAGAGAAGCTTTGTTTCAACGCTAATGAGTTCCGTGAGTTTTTCGTTCCAAATCCAATAGCCTATAATTGCCCATTGAATGTTCAATTTGAAGTTGGTAGAAGAATAAAACAATTTTACTTCAACGAAGAATTAGTAACAATGGACAATTTAAGTGAAATGATCAAGTTCTTCTCCCTGAACATGTTTGTCTATCCTATGTTCCAATTAGCAAGGAGTTTATCGAAGAAAAACAATGTCTATTTCTACAAATTTACCGGCAAAACTGAAAGAAACTTTATGGTCCATGTTTTAAGACTGGAGGAGGTTTTAGGGGATAGAATTCCAGTTTGCCATGCCGATGAAGTTAATTATCTTTTTCCAATGAAAAAGTTCAATCTTAAACTCGATATAAATGCTAAAAGCTATAAAATAATTCAAAATATGACAAAGCTTTGGACTAATTTCGCTAAACATGGGTAAGTGGAAAACATTAACCATTTTTTTTTTATGTTTTATTAATTTTACCACATTATAACATTCGTTTAATTTGAAATATATTACATTAAATTTACAATTATACATTACATATATATAATTTACAATTATATATTATATTACATTCCTTTCGCATTAGAAATAAAGTAATAAAGGTTTTTTCTGAAGTGTTCACTTAAAATATTAAATGACACTGTCTGTTCCGTGATCATGAACACGTGGAAAGGATTCGTTATGTAGGGAATTAAAAATATAAAACGTGCTTGAATTTCGAAATCTTAAATATGTTGGCACAAAATGGTATGGGTCAGCCTAACAATTGGGAAAGAGTAATATTCATTGTTCTCTGCAGTAACTTTATTTTTTCTTTCTAGGAATCCAACGCCAGATGACAGTATGGGCATTAAGTGGATCCCATACAATTCGAATGAGCAGCATTATTTGGAAATAAGCGAGAACTTGATCGTGGGCACCGAGCCCGATAAAAAAGAGGTTGACTTCTGGGAAAACATATTCAGGGAATTTTTACCGAATTCTGTTCCATATTAATCACTTATGTGCATATATTTAGTATTACCCGATATGCCTCACAAACTTTTCTTTCTTTCTTCCTATTCCACACATAGCGTAGAAATGATATAGGTGATATTTCATTTTTTTTCTTAAATATTTCATTTTACTATAAGAAATCAAAGACTAACTTTGAAAAAAAAAACGTTTTTAGGCGAGACACGTCACATCACCGTTCATCACAATCACATGTATCGTTTAGAAACATACCTGAGAGTAGTTTTGCAATAGTTTTTTCACCGTATCTGACCTTCCTAACCATAACCTTCCTTCTGGTGCAGTCGGGTAAAAAGATAATGAAGGCTAATTACCCACTGACGAACTCCCCACTTACAACGCTATGTCTATTAATTTAAGAAATAAGTTTTTGGTGTTCGTCTCCGTTTCCAAAAAAAACCTTAGTTTTTAATTCAATTATCGTAAATTTGAATTTTTTTTTCATAATTAAAAAAAAATAATTCAGCGCGAAATTATTATGGCATATATTTATGCTATTAAGAAAATGTGTTTTATTCAATTTAATGTACGTTAGTGGAAAAGAAAAGATCCCAATTTGACCACAGATCTAGTTTTTATCACAATCCATCTTCCCTAATTCTGACAACAAACCCGGTATACTTTCGAAAGTCGCACTTAAGTTTACCATTTTAATTTCAAACAGTTATCTTGGTTGAATGTACTAAATTATAACAATTTAAACTTGCATTCTTGTGTTTAAATAATCGTTAAAATAATTAAAACTCGACGTTACCCCGATCGACTGATTATTAAACGAAATACCAATTCATAAGTTATTAAATACCGGAAAATAAGTTTTTAAATCCATAATAGCAGCATTCAATATTTGATAAAAATTACTAAATTTAATTTACATACATTCCACTGCTGGACCAGTGCCTTCCACTGTCGTCTATTATCTAATACACGACCCCACCAGGGTAGTTAGAATAGGAAATTTTAAAAATATTGTTTAAATTAATCTTTATTGTTTAACCTTCGCCATCAATGAACACAACAGACGAGCTCCATGTCCCTACCAATCAACCTTTGGTGAAGCGAGATCGTTAGGCAGATTCAATAACTTTAAAAAACTTAAATTTAATATAGTTAATAAATAATGTCATCGCAAAGAACTGTGCTCGGAGCGCTCGTTTTAAATTCATTATACTCGAGCAATCACAGTTCGAATGTCGGTGCCAGCACCGAATTGTTAATTTTAAGCGCTGGCTTATCACTGCTCAGCTTTGAAGGAGAACATCTTGAAGGAACATGCATATTTTCGAAATGATAACAAAAAACATTTCAAGAGTTATTGGATACTTCTGTGATATTGATGTGTATTATGAAATATTTCTGTGGAATCTGGCGGTGGACTAGCCCTTACTCTGCACCGGAGACTTACGTGTTTGTTGTAGGTATAGAAGTAGCCCCACAGTTGTTACAAATGTTCACCCTGAGCCTAGTTACTCCGCCAAAGTAGGGAGGTACGCCAAAGCGATCTAACTTGGCGGCCTCTAAAGCCATTTTAAATAGTAACAGCGTGACGGCCCGTACCGTGGCTCCGTCGGAAGCTAGGCGCCCTCGGCACCGCGCCACCTCAAGCCCAGTGGATCTGTAAAGGACCTCAAGGCCAACAGTGGTTGATCCGGCAAAAACAAATGCAGATGATCATGAGTGGCGGTACCCACCACCTGTAGTACCTTCAGTGTGCTTTGGCAACACTATGTTGCCCTCCTCCCCAAGATGAAATATCTAGCACACACCAAACGTACACTCTCTTTCCTTTATCACAAGCTAGCTGACTCGGCAAATGTTGTTTTGCCATATAAATTATTTCTAGAGGAATCGGAACGCACGCTTAAAGTGTTTGACAGGTTACACAGACATAGTTGACAGGTTGACAGGTACAGTTTGTATGGGAAAATAAAATGGTTGCAATTTCGATTTTCAATGCAATTTTTCCGTAATTTCTCATCGTTTAAAGCTTCCCTGGACCGCCATAAATATTTCAAAACAAAATTAGCCAAATCAATCCAGCCGTTCTCGAGTTTTAACGAGACTAATGAACAACAATCCATTTTTATATATAAGATTAACTATAGTCAAAAAACTTTATTGACAACAAAACAACAGCGATTTTAACGTTTATCTACATTTTCTCCATTACTTTCAGATAAATGCGCTGTCAGTCTTCGAGATATTATGCAAGCAATTCCAGTTATACTTGGTTAATAAAAAGCACATTTCGAAGCTATTTTATTGCGAAAGTATAAAGAGGGAACTTTTCTATTTTCCGAATGAGCAATAATGTAGTTTTTAAAACCGCCATCAACAGAGAAATATGGGTGGATGCATCTTATCGTTATCCTGAAAACAGAAAAGCAATATTCGAACTTGTACTATCACCTAACACCATTTAATGCATATCATTTTCTTATCATTATTAGTAAGTTAATTGAATTAAGTAAATTGAAAGTTAATTTCGCTTTAATTCAATATATTCGAGCAACCTCAGTTCGAACCCCGATGCCGGCACCAATAAATTAGTTAATTATAAGTGCTGAACTATCACGTGCTTAGCGGTGAAGGAAAACAACGTGACGAAACCTGCATATTTTCGAAATAATAATAAAAAAATATATTTCGCAATCCGCAATCCAATCCGCAGTAGAGCCGCGTAGTGGACTATGCCCTGATACCCTCTGTACAGACGAGGCCTTTACCCAGCAGTTGGACATGTTAAGGCTGATACTTTACTATTTATAGATAGAGAAGAACCCATAAACTAGAAACGCACTATTCGAAACATTTTGTTCCATTACCCAAAATGTTTCGAGTAGTGGAATCGAACGCACACCTATCGCAAGAGACAGATCAAATGTGGTGGGGCCACGCAAGAGTTTTCTCTGTTGCACGAATGGGCAATTCCATTCGGATAAGTACAACAACCAACAGAAAGAAAGTGGAACTGTTATATTTCTGCGTTTCACCTGGTGAATGAGGTAGCCGGGGCCCACATTGTAATGAGGTGGTGAAGAACCTGGAACCCCCCGGGTGTTGCAAATGTCAATGGGCGACGGTTACACGTGAACCGCCAGCTCCCTTGCCACCTTCTCATATAAAAAAAAAACAAAAACAAAAATCCACTACGAAATCCGGCCTTAAAATCAATTTATTTTTGAACAAATACTTCCTGATATTGTTTTCTTGCTTTTACGCGAATATTATACATATTAAATTCTATCGTTCATGGTCACGGGACACGGTCCCATGAACGCTGGAAAGGGTTCGAAACGTCGGGAGTTCAAATCAAAATAAAATACGCGATAAAATCCGTAAACTAGTTTCATTTAATAAATACTTCCTGAATTATAATTTAAACCTTGCATACAAAATTTGGTTTTGGTTGCCAAGATTAAATTGGTTACAAAGAATCGTTCCGCTTTTTGAGGGTCGGTGTGCATCGTAAAATTATACTCTCATGATTTTTCCAAAAGCGCCAAAAACATTATAACTTCAAAATATATATAATGATCACTGGTTAACGCTATATATTCTTATCAATTTCGGGATATTATAAGTTTTACACTATGTGACAATCATTAATATATAAGTATGACTGATATTTACGCCAGAAAAATATGTTTTTTTTATGTGTGAAAAGTTTCCAAACGGTTCACCTGATGTTAAGTGAATACCGCCGCCCATGGACATCTGCTACACCCGAGGGTTACAGATGCATCGACAACCTTTTGAATATTGGGCACTCACTCACCAGACGAAGCGCGAAAGTACTTCAACTTTACGCCAATCTTCTGTGAGGTCGTGGTACTCACCCGGACGAGCCTGCCCATTTGTGCAACCGTCGAGGCTGCTGCGTAGCCCTACCACCGTAAAGTATATAATGTAGTTTAATTATAATGTACTTGTAAATGTAATTAAAGGGACCTCGCACCGCAATCTAATAGTTATAATGTAACAAAGTTACAAATTGAACAACAACTAACTTGGACCGATAACTAACGCGCGGACAATATACGTGGGTTTGTTAATTGAATCAATAATTCAGACGTAGCTCTCCGTAACTCCACTCGCGTGGGAGACTTGAAAATTGTGGTTCCTTTCTAGAATGTTCTCTAGGGGTACGTGTACAGCTAAATTAATTTTACAGCGACTAAATATTAACAGTAAATCAATCTTAAACACATTTTATTATTTACTAGCTGCTGCCCGCGACTACGTCTGCGTAGAATAGGCTGAAGGCGTAACATTCAGACAGAAAGAGAAATATACATAAATAATATGTATTAAATTATAGCCTATATCTTATTCTGATGTATAAGCTATATTACTGTAAAGTTTCATAAAAATCAATGCAGTAGCATTTGCGTGAAAAAGTAATAAACATCCATCCATAGATACAAGCTTTCGCCTTTATAATATTAGTAAGGATTGTGTTAACATAGATTTGTGAATTTCTTTTGGAAAAATAACTTATATTAATCGAAAGATAAAAGACGGCAACAGATCCATTTTTTTTAATCATACATTCAATGTAATGAACTTAAATTACTTAATAAAGGCGTATTGATTATGTTAGTGACTATAATTTAAACTTTGACCAAAGTCGATCTCAAAAATTAATAAATACGGTATGTAAAATCTGCCAATACACTGTAGGTCGCTCGGTGGACTATGCCCAATACCCTCTGCACACAGGAGGCCTTTATCCAGTTTTTGTGTGTGTAAAACAGCCACGTTCTTTCTTCTGAGTCTGAAGACCGTCAGCTCACGAAACTGTTTCGACGTTCGAAGCTGCTAAAATGACCAGACTAATACGGCACTACAGTTCGCAGAAAAATCTCGATCCCAGTGTTCTTCTTTCTATTTCTTCCCATGACATTAAGTAATCTCAAAAAAAATTTCATTTTAATGTGAAAAGTTGCCAAACGAGCAGACGTTTCACCTGATGTTAA